TTATTTTAAATATAAAAATCTATGTAAAGGATAAGTAATTTTTTTAAATTTTAAATAAAAAATAAAAAAAGAAGAATATAAAATCAGAAAGAAACAAAAAAAATATTAATAAACTAATTAAAATATGTGGCTAAAATAACTAATTATATTGACCGATATGTGTTTATGCTTATTAAATTAATATTTGTTTTATGCTTATTAGTTTTAAAAGAAGTCCCTTTGTAAATTTTATATAAATAGAATACATTAGTAAAAAGACATTTTTATAACTCCCCATTACTCATTCCACTACTACACAGTCCTAAAATCAATAAAAAAAATCATGAAATATGAAAAAAATCAAATAACAAAATTTTAAAAAATAATGATTTGAAAAAGTAGTAAAGAAAAAAGAAAATAAAAATGGTTGTGGATTAACCATTTTTAATAAATAAAATAAATAATTCTAACTATTATCAATAAAAAGCAAAAAATGCACACGTTCTCAATTTCCTCAAATAAAGCAAAACAAAAAATTTTATAAATTGCAGTTGCATAGAATCAAACAATTAGGAAGTTATTAACATTACAATATTATTTAAAAAATAATATAATATTGTATTTATAAAAAAAAAATAAACAATAAAAATAAAATGTAGTGGCGATTAAATATTTTACAATTAGTGGGATCACTTAAAATTTATTTAAATTTAAATATCATTTAATTTTGAGTTATGAATGGATAGTAATAGTTCCTAAAATATAGGTAACTAACTTTTAAAAAAAATATTAACTATTTAAAACATAAAATAAAAATAAAATATTAATTACATCGAAATAGATCATGAAATTTATTTTTTCTTTACTAGTTTTTTTCCTCATTATTTTAAAGTTTTACTTCTATTAGTTATTTTATTTTTCTGTATTAATTATATTTTAAATTATTTTATTAAAATTTATATTTCCACAATTCTTAAATCATAGTGATGGATAGCTATTTAGTCTAATTTGAGTTTTTATTTACGCGAGGATTTATAAATTTTACAGTACATAAATTGCATAAGCCTTTTGTTTATGCTTATTAAATTAAAAATGTGTTTATGCTTATTAGTTTTAAAGGGAGTATCTTTGCAAATTTTATATAAATGAATACATTAATGAAAAGGAAAAAAAAATAGTTTTATAACTCCCCATTATCCATAAATTACTACACAGTTTTATAATCAATAAAAAAAATAAAAAAATCTGTTAATAACATTTTATTTTTTAGTATTTATTTCAAATTAAAAAAAAAAAAACATGAAATAAATAATTATGATTATTTTAAATAATTAAGTCAAATTAAAATATGTTTTAAGATTTTTTTTGATACATACCTCACCTTTAACCATATTATCATAAGTATGTAAATACTTTGTTTTATCAATACATACCTCACCTTTAATCATATTATCATAAGTATGTAAATATGTTGTTTTATCAGTTGATCTTTTAACTGATAAAAAAATCACGAATTAAATATACAAATTACTAAAAAAGATTCATACACTTTTAGTTATTATTAACCATTGATATCTGTTTATGCTTATTAATTAATATTTGTTTATGTTTATTAGTTTTAAAAGAAGTCCCTTTATAAATTTTATATAAATGAATACGTTAATGAAATATTTACATAAAAATAATTACTTCAAAATCTAAATATAGTATATGTAGATAAAGACAATTAGGGAACTCTTATTATGAAAAGTGTAAAACAATTTATTTGTTTTCTATTTCTATTTATGCATAATTTTTTCCTTCTTCTTTGGATGTGTCTTTGTAGTGGTTGAGACAAAGTCACTATAATCAACTTCATACTTAGAATTGACACTATCACTGAGATTTGATATATAGATATCGCAACTTTTTAAGCATTAAAGTTTCTTATCAATAATTTTTGTTGAGTTTTTTTCTTTTTTATTGCTTATAGCTTTTAATGATTTAAAGTTTTTATTTGCAGGATGCTTGGTGTTTTACTTCGTTGGATTTGGATTTTTATTTTTTATTTTAATATATTGTTAAAGTTATTATGTATACGTATTTAATGTGAAGCATTTATTTGATAATATTATTTAAAAATAAGTTAAATTTTAAAATTGTCAATAAATTAATATTTATAATTACATTTATCAATTAACCGCGCAACGCGCGGGAACATATACTAGTAATTATAATAAAGAAGGGGAATGAAGAGTTGCAAGGTAATTAATTATGAGAGAAATGTTCACTTTATTGCTATATAATTATGATAATAAAATATAAAGAGAATGAAGAGTTGCAAGGGTAATAAATTTTGAGAGCTATAATATAAAATAAAGAGAATGAAGAGTTGCGAGGGTAATAAATTTGGAGAGCTATATATAATATTTGTGTAGCAAAGAGGTGGCCAGCCGATGGTCATTATTTTTGCAAAAATGCATGATTATTAAATAAAATTTTCATTTTTCTCTAAATACATTAGTTGATTACTTATTACTTTCATTGTATTTTTTTGCTTTTTACAGAAGAAAAATGTGTATAAGTTCTAAAAGTTCATACGGAGCATGCAATGATGGAAATGGATATTGGAAATTTTCACGGATCGGAGGTTGAAATCCATCTATTCACAAAGTTAGTTTTTAACATTATCTAATATATTTTCATATTTTGAGAAAATTCTCTTTTAATATTTAGTTTTTAGGTAATTGTCGGAGGAATTCAAATCGGTGCTTTCACTGATTTACATACTTTGGGTAAGTGAATTGAACTCTCTTCTTCCTTTCTTTGTCATTTCACATAATATA